TTGATATAACAATAATTTTCTTAGATGCGGAATTTAATTCTGTATCTCCCTGTTTTGAAATTTATTGCAAGAAAATTCCGTAACGCGAGTTATATTGAAAGTTGTCTATGTGCGACGTAGTAATTTTTGCGCTAGGAATTGTAGTTTTTTTAGTATAACACGCGAACGTGGTGCTGCAAGAGGTTCGGAATAATTTTCCCAAATGCAGAATTTAATTCTGTATATCCCTGTATCGAAATTTATTGCGCGAAAATTCCTTTACGCGAGTTATATTGAAATAATGTGCGCCGTAGTACTCGTTGCGCTTGGAGTTGTAGTTTTTTTAGCATAACACGCGAACGTGGTGTCATAATAAGTTCGGAATAATTTTTCCAAATGCAGAATTAAATTCGCGAGTTATATTGAAAGTTGTGTGTGTGCGCCATTCTATTCGTTGCGCTTAGAAATGTAGTTTTATTGATATAACACGCGAACGCGGTGTCACAATAAGTTCGGAATACTTTTTCCAGATGCAGAATTTACTCCTGTATCTCTCAGTATCGAAAGTTCTTGCAAGAAATTTCTGTAACGCGAGTTATATTGAAAGTTGTGTGTATACGCACTAGTACTCGTTGCGCTGGGAATTGTAGTTTTTTTTTTGTTATAACACGCGAACGCGGTGTTCACAATAAGTTCGGAATAATTTTCCCAGATGCATAATTTAATTCTGTATCTCCAAGTATTTAAATTTATTTCCAGAAAATTCCGTAACGCGAGTTATATTGAAAGTTGTGTGTGTGCGCCATTGTATTCGTTGCACTTAGAATTGTAGTTTTTTTAGTAAAACACGTGAACGCGGTGTCACAATAAGTTCGGAATAATTTTCCCAGATGCAGAATTTAATTCTGTTTCTCCCTGTATTGAAATTTATTGCGAGAAAATTTCCTTAAGCGAGTTATATTGAAAGTTGTGTGGGTGCGCCGTAGTACTCGTTGCGCTAGGAATTGTAGTTTGTTTTTTTTAGTATAACGCGTGAACGCGGTATCACAGTAAGTTCGGAGTAATTTCAGGGCACCGTACGAAGGTAGTGGTAGAAGTGACTCGTGTTCAGGACACGGAACGAAGGTTGCAGTAGAAGTGACTCGTGTTCAGGGTACCGTACAAAGGTAGCGGTAGAAGTGACTTGTGTTCAGGGCACCATACGAAGGTAGCGGTAGAAGTGACTCGTGTTCGGGGCACCCTACGAAGGTAGCGGTAGAAGGGACTCGTGTTCAGGGCACCCTACGAAGGTAGCGGTAGAAGTGACTCGTGTTTAGGGCACCGTATGAAAGTAGCGGTAGAAGTGACTCGTGTTCAGGGCACCGTACGAAGGTAGCGGTAGAAGTGACTCTTGTTCTGGGCACCGTACGAAGGTAGCGGTATAAGTGACTCGTGTTCAGGGCACCCTACGAAGGTAGCGGTAGAAGTGAATCGTATTCATAAAATATAAAATATAAATTGTGTTATTTGGTATTGAAAAAAAAAACTGAGAAAAGGGGCCGTACCGCCTCATGTATTTTTTGTTATAATTTTTTTTACTTCTTTTTCCGATTTTAATACTTTATTATACTTCCTTATCCCTATTGCATCCCAAAACCAATATATTATTTTCTTATACCGAGAAATATTGAAAGTAAAAGTAGATTTCGTGTTTGTGTGTTGTTTCAATATTGTGAATTTTTACTTTCGTCTTCTGAACTACGTATTTACCACTACGTTTGTGTATAAACAACTTTTTTCTTCGGTTGATGCGTATTATCGCGACGTACCTGCCTTTTACCTGGCAACCCTGGCAACGCGTCGCTCACATGGCAGTCGTTTCACCGCGTGATCCGCGAACGCGTCAATTAATCGTCGAGTACTCTTTTTGTTATTCGTAACGAGCATGTGTGGCTGTTTTGTTTGATGAGTTGTGGCGGTTAGAGTGTTCTTAAGTAAGAAATAAGTGTCTGTTAATCTCTGCGCGAGTTTTCAGTTGATAAAATATATTCCTGGATCAAAAATCTCTTCATCACTTTTTTTCGCTAAGGTGGTTTAACTTAAATTGATTATTGCATTTGCACGTGGTGGCATTTTTATCAGAAATTTACTGCTTTATTGCAAACACTGTTTTAAAAAAGTATCTGAAGATTATTAAAATTGGCAATATTCATGTGATCGACCACGCTCACTAGGCCGTCTGCCGTCGGCTCGGTCATGTTTTCGCTGAACACGTGAACGTTTTTAATCGAATTGCACTCGTTAGCATAATTAAATTAAAACATTTCTTGTTGATCTAACACAATCTTGTAGGTTGAATAGTTTTTCGCTATCATAGTCTCCGTATATCTTAATATTTTCAATGAAATATTTATTTTCTGTCGTATTTACCGACTGTATTGCTACGCGCCGTCGCTTGCCATCTGTTTAGATGTTTTCCGCCGGATATTCTATCAATTTATGATGATGCTTCTCCCGTCGGTTACCTTATACAGTTGATTCTACCATCAATTAATAAATATATATTCACAATATATTAAAATGTAAGTGTTTTATTTTTGTAGCACTTTTTTGTTCAATTTTCCGATGTTTTCGAGTAAAATCTCAGATTTTATATTAAAATACTGTTGTTAATTTGTAAATTTTGTAGTTTCTAAAATTTTCTTTTTGTAACACCTTGTATATTAGTTTTCCTAACATCACGTAGAAAAACACCTTTAGTTGTGAGTTTTGAGTGTTCTCTGTTTTGAACATGGAATTTTCTTTCTAGAACACATTGTATATATGTTTTCCTTTGTGCCCGTGAAAATTTTGCTTTGTCTGTAGTTTTTATTATTTTCCCGATTGCACTTTGAATTTTCTTTCTGGAACACCCTGTTTATTAATTTGCCTGCTCGTCGAGTGAAAACGAGCGGCGTTTGTATTGTTGAGAGTTTTTTGTTTACACTTTAAATTTTCCTATTGTATATTTGTTTCCATTTTCAATCACCGAGAAAATTGGCTATTTACATATTTCATTAACCCGGTAGATCTTTATGAAGTAGTACTTGCTGGCATGTGCGTGGCTATGCAGGTCGTAAGTCCTGTTTCAATATAGCGAAATGTATTCTGTTGACTTGTAAAATCTAAACTTGTATTCTATTATTAATAAAGAAATAGTAAGATATATTGACTTCTTTGATTTGTGTGTTCGCTTTCTATCATTTCAGGAACAGGTCTCTAAGAGAGTTCCCTCTCTCAGGGGATGATCCCCTCTATAAAAATTGTTAAGGTAACCTGTATGATTTCTGCACTCCTTCTTTCGTTTCAGCTACAGGTCAGAACTTGTAAGAATATTTTTAAGTGTCGCCTCTCTTGAGATGACTTAAAACTTAGAAATATTTTTACAAGACCTTAAAAGGATTGTCCTTATAAGGAGTTCCCTCTCTCTGGGGGTGATCCCCCACCATAAAAATTGTTGATATGCCTGATAATTCCGGGGATGAAGCGCAGAGACATCGTAGCTGTAGGATGGGCCGGGAGCAATGGACACATCGAAGCAGTGGGCTGTCTAACGACACGGGCCAAAAAATTTAAAAATCTGATCCTCCCCTGTTCTCTTTCTTCTACCTCCTCCTCTTTTCTCTACTCTACTCTCTGTTCTCTTTCTTCTATCCTCTCTACTACTCATTCTTTTATTTCTCTGTTCCCCCGTTCTCCTTTTACTTTCTTACTTCTCATGTTGCCTTCCACTTATATTTCAATTTCTCTTATATTTCGTTGCAATTCATATATGCAACCCAAATGGCACCATATATTTTTATATTTGAGAAAAATGCCTTCTATACCTCAGATTCGATCCGTGTCTGCTAGCATACCAACAGGTGCACGTCTCCACTCGACCACCGAGTGCTTTTATCATTGTTATTTTATTCTTCTATTAATGTTTCTACTTTTATCATGTTTTTAAAAACAACACAATTCAAGCAACAGTTAGTTATGTTATACCCGCTGCACACACATAAGATTTATGTACCATATTATTTAAAACTGAAAACGACAAAGAGGGTACCACATAGAAAAGTGAATTAGTTTATAATATTACTTTATATATTGAATTTTATTGACAACATTAAACAATAGATACATTTTATTAAATAGAAAAATATCAACATCTAGCAAAGTCGGAAGTAGTAAAAACTTGCCTTAAAATACGCGCATCTCCAATACTTCACCTATAGATATTGCCATTGTTCATTTGCTGGAATTAAATATCCAATCTATATATATATAAAAGAAAGTCGTGTTGGTTAACTCCTTTATAACTAAAGAACGGCTAATCCAATTTAGCTAAAAATTGGTGGAGAGGTAGCTTAGGGCCAGGAGTAGGTAATAGGATACTTTTTGAAGTGAAAACTTTTCTAAAAGGGCACTAAACGACACTAAAAAGTGACAAACATATTTGCGTATATGGATTATCTTGCGGGAAAATAAGAGAACGCAAATACAAAGTTTTCTATTATCCCCGTGTCCTCTTTGTGCGATGCTTCGTAGCATAGACGTGTGTATGTGTGTACGTGTGGGTTGAAGTTGACCGGTTGATGTTTTTGTTTGGAGAAGGTTACTAGGATACTTTTTAAAGTGAAAACTCCTTTACAGAACACTAAACGACACTAAAAGGAAACAAACATATTCGCTAATATGGTTTAGCCTACGGGAGAAAAAGAGCACACAAATATAATGTTTTCTATTATCTCCCTCTCCTCTTTGTGCGATTCGTAGCTTCCCCCTAAGCATAGACGTGCGTGGGTTTGTACGTGTAGGTTGAAGTTGCCCGGTTGATGTGTTTGTTTCAATAAGACTTAGTAAGGGTGCATTCGCGTTGGACGCTTACGCGCTGTGAGCGCTCACGCTTATAAGCACAAATTTTTAGTGTTCGAGATGGCCTATAGGCGCTTAGAATCAATAAATAAATTTTGTTCGTTTTGGATATTGTGAGCGTCAATAATCATCAACATGGCAACTGTTTATCAAATAATTTAAATTTTTATTTTTTAAATTTTTATTTAATTGTAAATTTTATTACTTTCTGGATCAGTTAGCTCAACAGAAATTAATTTTGGTTGACTGCTTGCCATTTTTGCGGGATTGTAAAGAATTTAACAATTTAGAAATAAATGAAATTTTTTGGTTAGCTTATGCTCAAGTTGCATTCGTTTTGACAGATAATAAAAATTGGCGCTCACGCTTTCGCTGCCCTACCTCTGTGGCGTGAGCATAAATGAGCGCGAAGTCTGTGCTACGAACTCAGCCATGAGCGTACTTATGTGACTCACAGCGCCAAGTCGAACGATGAAAATGACATGTAAGCACGCTCACAGCGCGTAAGCGTCCAACGCGAATGCACCCTAAGTGTAGGATACTTTTTTTAATACTTTTTGAAGTGAAAACTTCTTTGGAAGATACTAAACGAGTTTTCTCCGTCTCTTCTTTGTGCGATGCTTCGTAGCTTCCCCACTCAACATGCAGGGACCAAAACGATCAAATCTTATCCGACAAAACCGTAATGCAACTAGGATTCGAAGGATTGTGAATGAAAGGACTGAAGAAGGAGAAAAAATTGCACGTGAAAAGCATCATGTTAGTCAGTTAGTATGACTCGACTTCGTGCTTCTCAATCTCAAGAGCATAGCGAGGCGGAACAAAGTTTGCCGGGTCAGCTAGTTAATAATATATACAAGTTATTCTTATGTGCAAAACTAGTCGCGATGAACACGCGCACCTCACTCGATGTCCGGAATTGAACTGCGTGTGCAGCAAAATACATACAGCCAACTGCGACAACATGAGATCACTATCAGTATTGCGCGATACGTTCGCTGAACGCGACAAGAAAATTGTTTACAAACAAGTCTCGCGCGTACAGCTGTGGATGCACAGTACTGAGCAAGCAGCGCCGCCTGTTTTGGTACTACTAGCGCACAAGGCAAAATATCTACGGTGCCCAACTGGAAATCTTTAATCACAAGGCCCAAATATTTTGAAAAGAACAAAGATATTTGGAGATTAATTTAATACTTCCAGATATTCAAAAGTATTAAAAGCGAGTCAGGAAAGCGCGAGATACAGATCATTTTCTACCACAGCTTTTCAAAAATGACAAAAATTGCTGAAGTTTGAGAGGGATTTAAGAGCACTTCCCGACCCTTGATGGTAACTGAATGTGGTTCATACGACTTCAGAACTCTTCTTCTATCACCTGAAAAAAACATAATTAAAATCCAGTCAAGGAAACGCGAGATACAACCATTTACCACCGTAACTTTTCAAAAATGACGAAAATTCCAGAAGTTTGAGAGTGATTTAAGGGCACTTCCCAACCCTTGATAGTGACTGAGTGTAGTTAATACGGCAAAAGAACTCTTCTTCTACCACTTGAAACAAACAAAATTAAAATCCAATAAAGGAAACGCGAGATACAGACCATTTTCCACCACAACTTTTCAAAAATGACAAAAATTGCTGAAGTTTGAGATTGATTTAAGGGCACTTCCCGACCCTTGCAGGTGACTAAATGCAGTTCATGCCATTAAAGTACTCTTCCTCTATCACCTGAAGCAAACAGAATTAAAATCCATTAAGGGAAATACGAGATACAGACCATTTTCCACCACAACTTTTCAAAAAGACAAAAATTGCTGAAGTTTGAGAGTGATTTAAGGGCACTTCCCGACCCTTGCAGGTGACTAAATGCAGTTCATGCCATTAAAGAACTCTTCCTCTATGACCTGAAGCAAACAGAATTAAAATCCAATAAAGGAAACGCGAGATACAGACCATTTTCCACCACAATATTTCAAAAACGACAAAAATTGCTAAAGTTTGAGAGTGATTTAAGGGCAAATCCCGATCGTTGGGGATAACTGAATGCAGTTCATACCATTAAAGAACTCTAACTCTTCCTCTATCACTTGAAGCAAACAGAATTAAAATCCAATAAAGGAAATACAAGATACAGACCATTTTCCACCACAACTTTTCAAAAAGACAAAAATTGCTGAAGTTTGAGAGTGATTTAAGGGCACTTCCCGAGCCTTGCAGGTGACTAACTGCAGTTCAGGCCATTAATGAACTCTTCCTCTATGACCTGAAGCAAACAGAATTAAAATCCAATAAAGGAAATGCGAGATACAGACCATTTTCCACCACAACATTTCAAAAATGACAAAAATTGCTGAAGTTTGAGAGTGATTTAAGGGCACTTCCCGACCCTCGCAGGTGAGTAAATGCAGTTCATGCCATTAAAGAACTCTTCCTGTGTCACCTGAAGCAATCAGAATTAAAATCCAATGTTTTTTGACACCATTTTTCCAAGATGGTGGCTCGAGCGAACAAGATACGAGGTGGCAAAGTTGAAATTCGTAAAGAGCACCTCGAAATCTATATGAATACCAATTTTCAACAATCCCGCACTATTTTCCAAGCAAAACTACCAAATGACTGGGCTATAGATAATAAAAGTTAATTTTATAGAGCTCGCAAGCTTCTTGTTTCAATCTAACGTGCGTAATTTCATTACTTTACTAAACATGCAATTTTCGGCTAAATTAAAAACAAACTCGGCAGCGTATTGTGTTCACTGCAACGACAAGCGACAACGTATATACATATCGATACTGATAAGCACGGTGAGAAGTAAACGAAAACAATTCCAATTCCATATACGATAGGTACATGATCGCGAAGATTTTATAAAGATTTAATTTAAAAATGTGAAAATAACACGAGAATAGTATCTCAATTATGAACTTACCAGTGAACCAATTGGAAACTTTAACTGGCCACACGCCCACGATACTCGATTGAAAGCAACGATTGACCGAATTTAATTCTCAACGAACAATAAAACAAGAGCACACCACAATCATTTTACATAACTTAGTAGGAATATGGATTAATGGTGAACTTCAACGAGACTTACAATAGCTCGATTGACCGAATCAAACTCACAAGAAATATGACGACGGGACGTGACGACCGCATGCGGACACACTACCTGCTCAACCTGACTCGAATGAAGCCGCGTGCGCCGAAAGTGTGTGCGCGGTGCGCAGATTGTGCGCAATGACCGTTGCGGTTAAGCGTAGTGTGCACAACAGTACACGCAGAGCATTAGGCTCATCAAATATAAAATTATTGCAAATTAATTCTATTGGATACAACTTTCAGCTCTGCGTTATCTCTCTTTTTTCTAATGTTTCGATAAATTCAATACAATTACCTAACCACTCTCAATCCCCGAACTAATAAATCTGTGAGGTGCGTGGGTTATCACCTACTTTGCGCAAACTTGCTGGGGCACATGCGCAAGAAAATAGAGATGATGAAAATCCCTACTAATATTATAAATGCGAATGTCCTGATGTTTATCATGCTTTCACGTGGTGGTGCCCGAAAGGTTATAGGCTACTTTGTATTTAATAAAAAAATTATTTTTTAAATAAAATAAAGAAATTGTTTATTCAATAATACCTCTGCATCTGGTTATTTGACTACTTTAACGCCATCTAGCATTCCAGCAATGAAGCTAAAACCTAAGTACTATAGTACCATCACACTGTATTATCACACAGTATTACCGACAACTACTTCAACATCAAATCCAATTGACTACACTATGGAGACTGTACACTATACTTCCATAGACTATACTTTCAGCCATTTTAAACTTCCCGCCATTCTACTTCATTGTTACTTCTTCTGTGACTACAGACGCGTACGGAAGCAACTTCATTGATTTCTAATATTTATTTGATTGATTCAACGCGAGCGAAGCCGCGGGATAAAGCTAGTATAATATAAAACATTGTTTTTATAAAATCCTTTATTTATTAATATAATTGCTGCTTTTCATTTTAAGATTTTCATCTCGTCATTTTGTTATGTTTTGACATTATTAATATTTATATTTCGTCATTTGTTAATGGGAATATGGAGTTAGGAATTATAAACTAGACTTCTTGTTGCTGTCAGTAAGCATACATCGTGTTAATGGTTAATGATGACACTGGTGTCCGTGTGAGAACGTCATTAACTCATATCCACGAACATTGGCGTATGTGTGGAAGGTGCACATAAATTAAAATTAATGGTATTTGTATAAATTACTCAATAAATTAAACCTAGATGACGCTAGAGCATACATATTTTAAACAATTAAATTAGAAATATGAATGCAGCTGTATTTTAAAAATTTATGGCGTATTAATGCAATTATTCATCAATTATGCAATGATTAAACATTGTATTAATAGCAAAATTAAAAGGGTTTTCATCTTCAAATATGTTACAAAAAAATAATAATAAGGACCAAATGTGTGCAAAACTAAAATGTGAAGGCCATATCTAAAATCTAAATGTTCTGTGTCTAACTTGTTTTTACTCCACTTATTTCAGCATAATTATATTTAATTTTGAGAATTAACCAAACCCAATCAATTAGGTAGTATGATTTAAAGGAAGGCAGAATTTTTTAACTTAATTTTATGAAGATTTTATTTTCTTTAATCTAATTTTATCAAATTTTATCAAAAAATCTAAAAACTAATAATGAACTTTGAACATGAAACTGACAATTATAAAATAAAAATATTTGGGTAAATATTACGTATAGTCGACTTTAGTTATGCACATAACTAATTTTTTAGGTTTTAATAGTAAATAACTGCACTAATTTTCATTACTGATAAGGCGATAACCCTTTTTACGTTTAACGTCACAAAAATAATCGGTATTCATAATAAGTCCATCTTATCATACAATTCGTTTGACATTCACCTTAAAAATACCTACCGTTTCGAGCCATTGCGCTCGTCCTCTTCTTGTGTCAGAGAACTGGGAAATACGTGCGCTTCCTTATCACCCATTTATTTTTAATTTTCCTTTTGTATTGCATATTTCTGGCCATTTAAATTTTTTAGTATTGTGGGTTAATGGATCGTTAATAACAAAGTATTATTTCTTTCAGTTGAGCAATGCAGAATTTCCCCCAAAAACAAACAAATTATGCCATTTTCTGAGCAATTGAGTAACGATAATATTACAAAGTCATATCATTACACCATATTATACAATTAATAAATATTTCACAAGTTATGTTGGGTCATTAATGTCATCTTAGAAATATTTGAGTGTAATTAGCAAAGTTGATGCAACATATTATTATAGTTGACTTTGAAGAGCATAATATTAAAATTGTAGCTCATTAATATTACCCTGTTTTTGTTTTGCTCGCAGATGGCAGTATAAAAGAGACAACAATGCGGAAAACAACTGCAGCAAAATTAAGCGCATTAAAAAACTATTGCCTCTTATTTATTTATTGCCAGTAATTATAAATGTTTTGATGTTTGTATAAATATAACAACGATTTTTGTACAATTCGAGTCGGCCATTGCATTTTCATCATAGTCAAACGATTTCCACCAAAAACAATGGACAATACTGTGAGTATCTTTGTCAAATTTGTGTTTTATCAATCAATCATATTATTGCAAAGCTAAGTAAAGAATACTATAAATCTACTACCAATACTTTTATAAACTTATTTTGCAAAAGAAAAGGTGCGTTAATGTTGTTTTGGTTGAAGCATTGATTACTGCGTCGTAGTAGTTGAGTCAAAATGCAAATCTTCATCGAGCGGACAAACAAACATTTCGATCGGCCCCACCCCACTCAAATTTGTTTTCTAGATTTACAGAAAATCCAATCAATTTTATACGACCGGGCTAAGTAATTTAAAATAAATAATTTTTCTAATATAGTTTATCAAGTGTGAAACACTTTCCCAATACATTATTCTTTGGAATTTCAATGAATTGTTTGCAATTATTTTTTGATTATGTAAATTGTTAATATTACGAATTATTTATTTCGTCCCTGAGCTTGCACCGTTCGTCGGCACTGGCTGCTCTGGCGTAGCACTAGACGTGCCGGCTCGACCCGAAAAAGGTATAAATCCGACCGGCAGGTGGAAAGCGCCATTCAGTGTTTACATAACCGCCACGCACTCGCCAAAGTTCTTCAATTTCGAAAAAAAAATCGAAACCACAAACGACTAGAAGACAGCACGCAGACAGATTAGACTCAAAAAACGTGTGCTCATTTTTTTTCCGCCTTGACAACAGCAACTTCTTGTTGCATGTTTCTTTTCAAAATTATTGCTTGACGAAATGTCAACAGGATAATTGATAATTCAAATTTTTTACATTTTTTACAAATTATTATTTTTAACCCTATAATAAAATTACACCAATTATACGAAAAAAAAAAGTGATAGTGATTGCAGTCAAATATTTTTGATTGGTCTTGTTAAAGTATTAACTAAATTTATTATTTGAAACAATTTCAATAAGAAAATGTTGGACAACCCGCCAAAAGCTTACACTGTAAGCAACTTCTACTGTCAAAAAGAGCAGGACGAGGAGGAACTTCTTCAGGAGCCATGGAAAGTACCCATTTCTACTTCGGCCAAAAATTGTCGCAACTACATTCGAGAAATCGTAGACAATCTTCATTTGGAACCAAATCCCAATAAAAGAGTTATTGCACTTTCAATCGGTAAGTAATATTTTTTTCATCAATTAATATATCAGCAAAAAGCTCAATTAAATTAATCAGTTCAATAACACGGAAAATTTGTAATATTGAGTCATATAATTAATTATTATGATATCAATATTTCACAAGATTCTCGAAAATATGTAAGGCGTAAAGACGTTTTGCAAGAATAACAATAATACAATTTTCATGAGTAATCATTAATCATTAAGAACTAGTCGAAAATATTTTTCATTTTTATACACGCATTAATAATTAATAACCATAGTATTCGATATTTATTGTATTTAACGTTATATTGCGTTTTATATCGGTGTTTTGTTGTTTTCTTTAAAAAATCGAAGATAAATTGTTACGAAGTCAGTGTTTTGAAATAGCAGTACTATATAATATATTATACTATATAATAAAAAATCCGAATGATTATCAAGGTAACTGCACCAGTGTTAAAAAATTCTTCCTTAAGGTGACTGGAAATTTCCATGCCAACGCATGAGTGTGATGCTCTCATTGAACTAAACTTGCAACTTTATACACCGTGATACGAGTTAATTGAAATACCCCAGGACAATTCCATTTTTACCTTCAAATGATAAAGAAAAGTCAACTTTTAAGAATTTAATAATTATTATCTACAATATTCTTGTTCTCGCCCATGAATTAAATTATCATATTGATTAACTATGTATTATGATAAAATTTATATCGTCATATCAATAACAAAATGTGGGCTGATCGCTATTCTCTTCACTGATTGGTTGACCAAGAAAACCACGTGGAGAAAACCACGTTTCTTTGGAATCTGTATGAAAAATAAGATGACTATTGCTTATTTTGCCAATGGGCCAGCTCGTTGTTGTTTCTATGTGCGCTTCTAACAGCATTTGAATTTTTAATGAGCATTTGAAGCATTTTTTGCTCCGCGCGTTGGGCAAATATGCAAATTTGACGAGTTTTGAAATGATATGCAAGTTAACAAGTCGGCAAGCAAGTCGACGCGCTGGGCGCCATAAATCCTATGGAAAGAAATGCGCAGAATACTTTGCAAGACGGGTTTGCAGAGAGAACTCGTGCCCCGCAGTCACAACCAATCAGAAAACAGCAATTCAATCACACCATATAAACAATAATTAATTCAACGAATAAGAATTTGTCTCTAATTATTGATTTATTTTTATTTTCAGGTGATCCAACTGTATACGGAAATCTTGCACCCGCAAAGGAAGCCATTCAAGCATTGGTCGACTCCGCCCTATCCGGTGCCCATAATGGCTACGCTCCATCCGTGGGTTATGATAAAGCGCGTAAAGCTGTAGCAGAATATGCAAGCCGTGATGGTGTGCAAGTAAAACCTCGTGATGTTATTCTTTGCTCCGGATGCTCATCTTCTTTGGACATTTGCATTTCTGCTCTTGCTGATGGTACCCGCAAACAAAACATTCTCATTCCCAAACCCGGGTTTCCAATTTACCGCACCCTTGCTGAAAATATTGGTGTTGAAGTACGCTACTACAGCCTTTCACCCGAAAACAACTGGGAAATCAACCTCTTTGACCTCGAGAAAAAAATTGACTACAACACCGCAGCCATTGTTGTTAACAACCCTTCTAACCCATGTGGATCAGTCTATAGCGCAAGCCACTTAAAAAATATCCTCAAAATAGCTCGAAAGCACCGCGTGCCTATCATTGCCGATGAAATTTACGAGCAGTTAGTCTTCCCTGGCAACAAATTCGTATCGCTTGCAGCTTTAAGTAAGGATGTCCCTATTTTGATCTGTAGCGGACTCACAAAGAGATTTATTTGTCCCGGTTGGAGGATGGGCTGGATAATAGTGCACGATCCCATCAAAGCATTTGACGAAATACGCGTTGGTCTAAATAACCTCAGTCAACGAATTATTGGAGCTAACACATTGGTACAAGGTGCCCTTGGTCCAATATTAAAAAACGTCCCGGAAAGTTTTCATGAGGATTTAATCAATACTCTGATGGAAACAGCAAGAGTGTCATATGCTGGCATAGATGCCATCAAGGGTTTGAAGGCATTTATGCCTCAAGGTGCAATGTACATGATGATAGGAATTGAGAGTGAATGTTTTCCGCAATTCAGGAATGGTTTAGAGTTTGTTTCCCGTCTTATGGAAGAAGAATCTGTGTTCTGTCTTCCAGGAGAGGTAAATGATTGAATTTATATAAAATAACATGTTAATAATTGTGAATTATTGATTTGTTTATAGGCATTTGGTGTGGCAGGATTCATGCGAATCATTTTAACAATACCAAGTGAACTTATGGAAGAAGCATGCGCGCGAATTGCGATATTTTGCGATAAATACTACACGCAGCCGGTAGGCAACTAAAGGCTCAAGCAATATATCAAACCATAACCGACGCCAAAGCGAGTCCGACACGACTAGAAACGTTTCAGTTCTAGTGGAATAAAATACTTAACAAATTACAAATTAGCTAATATAATATTGACGCACTGTTTAAGAATGCCATGAACTACACAAATTGTAAAACACTTGTTATGTTCTTGTATGTATCAAAGATATTAATATATTTTAGTAAAAATTATGTTTTTTTAAAATTATTAATTCATCCCCATGCAAACAATAGATGTTGACCTTAAACCCTTCACGTGTTACGTTCTTAAGCATAATAGTTTTAAATATTTATGAACATATTAGCTATTTGCATTTTACTTGCCTTGTACTGATTATAAATTCAATGTCAAGTTTACGAGTTTGAGGAATGCAATCACTAAATCAGGACTGTTGCATTACCACAGTATATTTTGCAACTTTGTTTTCTCTTAATCAAAGCGGTAATAATTATGTTTGATAACAACTACTTCAAGGTCTGTTCTGACTCGCAAACGATTAATCTGCATTTTAAATAATTCAAAATGTATATCCAAGAAATATTATGCTATCAAAACAAATATGTTTAGAAAAGTTGAAGGAATCCAGTTTTCGAGAGATTTCAATTGTATACAGTTTGGTACTATTTTATCCCACAATAAACACATTAATCTAATAAAATTCATATTCCAAATTACCAATTTTTTCATATAAATTAATTAAGTAATATAAAAATAAAAATAAATACTACCTAATGGTAGAAATTAAAAATTATTACAATTTCCAAAATCTGGCCAACTTACACTGTGTATAAGTATTACATATGCGTTTCCAGCATTGCTGATAAACAACTCTGTGAAGACAACTTGTGACGCCACAGCTAATGAATATTTAAATTTTTGCTTGGCAACAGCAAAGACCAACAACAGCCGATTAATCCGGTCCCATATTCTAATCAATTCGCTTTTCTCAGATTTTAACACAGTGCGCCATTTGTTTTTCAACCAGCATCAAGTATCAATCGTAGAAATCGATTTAAATCTCTGATAATTATGTGTGATGAGTGGAAAGTGATTCCTTCTCAACTTGCAACTAAAAGCGCAAGTCCTATTCAAGAATATTTGGGCAAAATAAAAGCAATTCAAAGTACACAGAATGCACAAAATGGCACTCCAAATATCGATTTATCAAGTGGTACGTGTAAATAAGTACTTAATAAGTAAGTAATAAACATTAAGTAAACGCAATTTTAGCTCATTTATGTAATACTTCTGAAGAAATTAAGGATTGTCTTGTTGAAACATTAAAAGAAGGGCAGCATAATGGCTACGCACCGTCGGTCGGTTATGAAGCAACGCGACAAGCCGTTCTGACATATTTAAACCTCCCCAATCTGACACCGAAGGACGTAGTTCTTTCAAGCGGATCTGCATCTTGTTTAGACATTGCAATTACAGCCCTTGCCGATCGAGGACAAAGTATTCTTATTCCTAAAGTGCACAATCCTCTATACAAAGTCCTTGCGCATGGTATCGGCATAGAGACAATTGAATACAGTTTGACTTCCAACTGGGACATAGACCTTATCGACTTAGGACGAAAGATATCAAGCAATACTGCAGCATTGTTAATAAATAGCCCGCACAATCCTACTGGGGGCATCTATTGTGAGAATCACATGAGAGATATTTTGGATCTAGCGCACAGACACAGACTGCCAGTGATTGTCGATGAATCTTATCGCGACTGTGTCTTTCCAGGTACTGAATTTATCTCTGCTATTGATGTAAACAACGGAATGACTTCAAAAGTGCCAATGTTGGTATGCGGTGGAATAGGTAAAAGTTTTATGGTACCTGGATGGCGAGTAGGATGGATTTTAATCCATGATACAATTAATGCATTCGAAGATGTGCGCAAAGCCGTTGTTAGTCTTAGCCAACGAATTATTGGATGTAATACTTTCATTCAAGGTGCCATTTGCAATATTGTTAATATTAACATGGAATTTCGATCACATTACATGCAAGATGTTCAGAATAATGCCAAATACTTGTTTGAAACTTTAAATAATCAATATGGCATCACAATTACACCCGGGAAAAGTATTTATACTTTTATAAATATTAATCGGGAATTTTATCGAGATATTCAAAGTACACAAGAATTCTGTTTGAAACTTTATGAAGAACAAGGAATTACTATACTCCCGGGTGAAGTTTTTGGAATGGAAGGATTCTGCAGAATTGCATTGGATGCCAAAAAGGAAATATTTGAAATTGCTACCAAACGAATTCTGCTATTTTGTCACGAACATTATATTCTTTAGAATAATATTTCTGAATATTTGTATAAAAAAGTTCACAAACCCTGAGACAGCATTTGTCTTTGGTCCACGAGCAAACCTTAAGATTATCTTAAGAAATTTTCATGATTATAGCAAACACAAGTATGCTATTTGTGGCGAAATTAACTGTATCTTGTATCACTTCAATTGACATTCAGCACCATGCACAACATAAAATATACAGTATTTCTTATAATATCAAAAGAAACTTTAACTTAAAAGCAACATAAATGCATTATCTGGCATTCGGTGTAAACTTATCCAAATAGATAACATGACAAAGTAATATATACTTCTTAATCATATCTTACTAATATTAACATAACTTGTAAACCTCTTATTGGCTATTAGTGCAATCAAAACGTTCACAAAACATAAAAATACTTGAAAAAAATATAGACACTAGACATAATAAACAAACTTAATATTTGTAAACCATTTGTTTTCCCATAAATAACGAGAGATGCGTTAACAGAATATAAGCCTACCTCCTACCGATTTATTCAAGATGACCATCTTCAGGCATGCAGACAAACAGTTTCGCGCAACCATCATTAAAACTGTTAAAAGCCTTACGCAACCATAGGGGTTTATTCGTCCACGCGATCGTCAAGTAGTAAACGGGAATACCACACAGTACAAATATCAAACCAATTGTTACTTCTGTAGGGTTCTCAAAGAATGGACACGTTACCAACAGCGTACATATTATAAAGAACGCAATTGGCAACGCAAGATTTACTTTAATCGGACGTTGAAGATCAGGTTGGGTGTACCGAAGATACACCAGTCCGGCAACACTGAGCATGATAAAGAGAGCTTCGACGAATGAGACACAGTTGATAAGAACGTATACGTCTTCAATCACAGTGAGGAACAACGTTATAAGACACTACAATATAAAATGGTTCAGTATACTATTACATTTAATTCATTATATACTTACCATGAAAACTAAAGAAGGTACTGGGGTGAATCGTTTTACATCAATCAATGCAATAGCCCTGGGTAGATGACCTTGTCGTGCTCCAACAAAAAATAACCTGCTCGAAGCAAAAATGGCCCCGTTCAAGCTACCAAACGTGGAGCAAGCGACAAATATCGGTATGACAAAGCTGAAACCCCCCAACATTTTATCCCCAAAGGTAACAGCAACTGCGTTGGATGCAAGAAGATCTTCCCGACTTAAAACCACGAAGTAAGCGATGTTAGTTACCACATAGGTGATCGTTACTATCGGCATGGAAATGCAAATCGCACGTGGTAAGTTCCTGCAAACATATTCAAAATATTTAAATACTATAAAACAATTCATAACAATACACACCGGTATGGATCTTTCAATTCCTCAGTCACATAATTCAAGTAATTCCACCCTGAGTAACTGAATAGGCCAGAATAAAATGCCAAGGCAATTGAACCAGGATTTGTATTCGTTTCAGCCATGGGTTCTTGGAAATGCTCAGTATGACCGCTAAAAAGATACCAAAATCCTGCAACGACAATGATACCGAGCGCAAATATTTTTGTGGCGGTGAAACTGTCTTGTACCCGAGTGACCCATTTCACGTTGTAGCAGTTGATGATTGTAAGAAGACACACTGTGAACGCAGCGATCAATCGCACCGCTTCGTATGGAGGCGCACAGGTCGGCCATAATGGTTGTAGAATATATTGAGCAAACGTAATGGCAGTAATTGCATTACCAGTTGGTACCAACACAAAAAGTGCTACCCATAGATATAAAAAAGCTGGCAAAGGACCGAAGGCTTCCAAAACGTAAGCATAATCACCGCCAGACTTTGGTATCATAGTTCCTGAAAATAATATAAATTCAAATTATTGTGTGGGTCAATAAAGGTGCGTAATCACAAGTTACCAAGTTCTGCATAACAAACAGCTCCCAATATAGCAATAATACCGCTTAAAATCCAAACTAACATGGAAAGACCAACCGAACCCGCATATCTTAGAATTCCAGCCGGTGTTATAAATATACCGATACCAAAAATTGTGTTTAGTATAAAGCACACTCCGTCAAACAATCCAATTGAGAGTTTCATGTTTTCTTCCGGCATTGCCATTTTAAAGTTAAAATTAACTGATTGCACGTGCAAATATTTAAATATTTATAAGGGCTTAGGTATAAGCTGCCTGGTCGAATAGAACACTAAGAAACTAACATTCATTCATTCATACATTCACGCATGCTTACATAATGGCGGAGTGCCGCTCAACGAAAGTGTGAATTGAATAAATGCAAAAGAAGGATGTGATAACTGTACGTACAGCTGAGTATGAGTGATCGTCATCAACGTATCAAAAGATGAAGCGATGGCAATGAAGGAAGCTTGTTCATATTACTACTTCTAATTTGTTAAAAAATGTTAATCTATCTAAATATAAAAATTATTTATAAACGGCTGGAGCGACTTTGATGAAATTTCTTATAATCCTCAGATTAATCTGATGTGCAATTCGGTGAGGTTTAGTAACAAGAATATAAATAAAATTATGTATAGTAAAGAATGGTATGGTCCTCCTATTATAATAATAATTATGAGCATTCTTGGCACATTGCTGACTTTTAATTTTATAAGCCGAGACAGACTGCAAGTATAACGTATAACATACTTAAGTAGAAAATGTATAGTAGACAATTATTTTAAAAGTTCCATGAATATTAGCCGTCAACACAACAAAAGCATGAATGTTCTTATAAAATAGTTATAAAACTTAACATTCAAAAATATAATCAATAAATAAAATCGTTCGATTTGTGACTAATCTATGCAGCAACTGGAAATGTTTCAAGCTTTGCAAATATGCAGTACAAACAAAATATTTTTATTTAATAACTCCATACATCAGCAAAATATTTTAATAAGGAAAATAAATTGAGTTTTATTAAATGCTTTTTGCAAATAACAATTAATTTTTTACGCGGAGATGATAAACTAGAACAATGTTAACTAAATTGAAAAGAAAATCCATCATCGATAGCCTGCTATATAAACAACGCAATGAATTCATTGTTCCATTGAATAACTTTCTTACTCTAAGGTCACACCTATTATTTTATCGCTTCAATCATTTGACGAATGGAAGAACAAAACATATGCAAAGAATCACCAATCGTGCAAGACTGAGAAAAATGCAACGCGTGTACGACCTACATTGTTAGACGGATGTTTTGACACAGTGAAAGCAGAAAAAACATATGCCTAATAAGAAAATATAGAACAAAAGTTGAGTTTATTTATTCTATGCTTATATGAAAACGTAATTTTTTTATGAATTTCGTTATCAAAATATCAATAATATTTAAAATAAGTATATAATTGTACTATTATTGCGCTATTATTAATTTTTAATAATTAATTTACCTATTATTTACAATTGGTGATAAGAAATGCAAATATGTTCACCATTGTATGTAAACCAGACGCAGCTCAGTATGCAGTAGTACAAACCATACATTTATATGGGTTATCATTACATTGTAACGTGGCCCAAATGACGAAAAACAAGAAAACGAACAAAAATGAAACAGACAAAACAAAGTCTGAGGCTGATTTAAATAAACACATGCCACTTTAAACTTTTCATTCAAATTTTAATTTAATTTAATTTAAAAAATATAGGTAATTAAGATAAGTAAAATATACATTATGCATATTTTTATTATAGCTTGTTATTATAGCAATGCTTTATCATTCATTGTAAAAAGAAAAACAATAAACAATAACCCAATAAACGCAGGTAAAATAAAAACGCATTCATTTTTAATCAGCTCACAATAAAATTCGCGTGACGAAAGATTTCGCGAAGCAAACTCCCGCCTATGGCGCCTTTACAACGGATCTGACGCAATATTCTCGGCGCTTGCGATCGTTAACATTCAAACTTGAATAGTGGAACACATATGCACAGCAGATGTTTTTTTTTTCATTCATGGTACTGATACAGTTTCGGATTCAGAGTTAAACCAGTTAGTAAAAATGGAAATGTAATAAAGTGTTCATTCATATTTCATACCTAATTCAGCATAACATAATGCGCCGACCATTGATAAAATCCCGCTCATGATCCAAACAATAATCGCTTGTCCCACAGATCCGGAGTAGCGCAAAACGCCTTTGGGTGACACGAAAATGCCGGAACCAATGATAACGCCGACGATTATTGCAACGCCATCGATTAGTGCTAATTCTTTTTTCATTTTAACACCGCCTCCGTCACCGCCTGCTGATACGGTCGACACATTGTCCACGTCTTTATTATCACCGGTTTTAGTCTCTGGCTGACCTCCCATTTTGAAAAACACGCAAATTAAACTTTTGTCCGTTAACTTTAATTTAACACTTTGGGCACTTTATATTTAATTTTATAAATTGAGATAAGTTAAATTAATTTTGGTTTAGGTTAAACGTTATTGGAAACCGCATGTTTGCCTTTGAGGTAGCCCGGCCACGTGCTGCTGGCAACGAACGGTGTGCTTCAGTGCGCTTGTTTCCTCCTGGCCAGACGAAGGTAACTCACGCTCACGTTTGCACGCGCGATCAAAACGAAACGCACCGGTCGACTGGTAATGCGCACGCCGAGCACCGTCGGTCCGCCGCATCAAAAGTCGTGCTACTCGAAACGCAAATCGGTCAAAAGAACACTGAGAATGTCTCCAGCAGCTTCAAACTCAATGCAGAGTTATGTATCGCTGGTATAGCTCATATAATCCAAGCAATACACACAATTCTGAGCTTTCCAAGTACTTACAATAATAAATTTGTATTATGTACTATTGCACTACGTACTCGCACTCTGATCTCATCCCACTGCATTTAATGAGTGGACAGTGCGCCAAGGGACCAAAATAAATCGCATTGACACTTTAGAATGCAATCGTACTCAACATATCTGAACACAAACGATTGAAAGATAAAAGTCTACTTCTGTATCTTTGGTTTTAATTCACCGACACTACACTTACTCGGTACTCATGGCGGACGACAATACTGCTACAATGTTATGAAAGTAACGAATGCATGCGCTAGCGAACGATGCTTCCTGTAATTTGCGCCGATAAACGATCTAAATAGGATGCCCGCGTGGCGCGACGATTATCGCCCGACCGCAAACACCCCAGGTCCACATCACTCACTCTGATAATAAATAAATAAATTACGGCACTCTTGTGCCGCACGACGCGAGAGGCGTTCGCGAACACTTCTCCGAGCGCATAAATCAACACGCCAGACAACTTTCATTTTATATAATCAAACAAAACACCAAGAATGTTAATTTCAGCGCATTTATGTAACTATTAGAGCATAATTTCTAACAGTTTTAGTCACGTGACTCAATAAAAAATGGCGATCAAACGGGTAAAATCCAAAATCGCATAATAATCGTATTTTTTTATATCGCCCAACACTAAATATCTGTAAACTCAATTTATTGGTTTAACGAGAATATTTTAACGTAACAAATGCGAAACGCAGAGTTCATCACTCTTATAACACGGATGATATACATATGTAAAATGGCGTCGCGCTAAGGAGAACACTGTAGTAGTAACTCTCCTAATAACGATCCGACTTAAATGTTAACATAGCGTCAATATACATATAAACAGTCGACGACACAATCGTATTTTATATGAATAAGTTTGCCGGATGCACCCTGCCTCACATAGTCACACATAACAACAAGAGCCAATGATTATATCAAATAATTCCAATTGAGTTTATCGTTTCTAGTAAATGTGTAATATTTGTTCATCAAAATTGACGTATATGTGTCAAATGTAGGGCGTAAAATCGACACATCGAGCAAAATACATCGAAAAAGACGAAATAGATCAGTCGAAAGTTAATTGTACATTTATATGTAATTATCTTCATATTTGTATCGTGCTTATGTTAAGTATTTTTTAAGACATCGGAATTCAGTCGTATTATTCAGGTTTTACATCGAATATTCTAGCTGTGCCATCGTCTGACGTGCTTAATACGATTGTACCGCTTGAACCGACCGCAAAATCTAAAACTTCTGACTCGTGGCCGGTTAGTGTCTCTGCCAGCAGACCTGTCCGTGCGTTACAAACATAAATAGCGCCGTCAGTTCCAGCGATAAATAATTTGCCATCTTTTCCAAACTTCATCTTAGTGACAGCACATTCAATCTTGGCCTCATGTCGCAGCGCGTACTTTCCTAACTCCCAAACGCATATTTGACCTGACAGCGCACCAGTCGCTACCACACCAAGTTCAGCACTAAAATCACAGCTCTCAATTTCCGTTTCGCCATCTGACAGCAAAGCTGTGAGCACTTTTCCATCTGCTACTTTAATTATTTGTGCTGAAGGACAAACTGTTATTAGTGTATTGTCAGCATTGATCTGCATGGAGTTAATTGAAGTTTCACTAGAATCTGTGTATTGCCACTTGGCTGTTGAAGTCTTGATATCCCACAATTTCAATGTTCCATTTGCATAACCAACCAGGATGTGTTTGCCATCAGAGAGAAGTTTGCCACAGTTAGCTGCAAAGCCTGAAGATGGAAGAACTTTGCAATTTCCTGATGGAACCAGGTAGATATAGACATCTCCAGATGAAGTACCCACTAATAAAATATTGGAAAGATGGTGCCATTGTATCCATTCTGTATCATCACCTTCTATACACCAAATCAATTTCTTGTCTTTAACAGACCAAACTTGTATTAATCCTGTAAATTTAATTTATGTTAAATTATTTATGATTTTTAGAAGGAGGAATAAATACATACCACCCATGTCACCTGTAGCTACCAGTGTGTTGTCATGATTAAAAGCCACTTCTGTGACTGAATCTTTATGCCCAGTGCATTCCAGAATCACTTCACCATTAGCAACAGTCCATAGATAAGCCACATCATCTTCACCTCCTGTGATGGCAATGCTTTCATCTGTGCTTAGTGCACAAACAAACACTGACTTTTTGTGGGATTTAAATGTTAATTTAGATATGTCCTTAATTTCTTCTATAAAGCGATTGTCGTCGAGTTCCGCATCTTCACCCTCACTCGCGTCGAACTCTTCACCATCATATCCACCCATGATTTCCAGCTCTTCTCCATCATCCAAGTAGATGACTTCAACATCTGGCAGTTCCATATCATCTTGTTCCATTTTTTGATTTAGTTAACTTATTAATTTAAGTTGGAGACGATTAGAAAGAGTATTGCACAATGTGGCACAGTCAAGTTCAACGGATTAGTTGATTGTTGGTTTGCAACTGCTCGCAAAGGTGAAAAGTCATGAGATTTATTTGGAAACTTGTTGTGTGAATCAGAGTTAACCTAAAATATCTCATGTGAGAATGAAATGAAATAAAATTCATGAAAATGCATTGCCCCGACATCTATCGGCTAAATTGTTTATTAAACTAAATAGTCAAATTGATCAATCTGCGAGTGGATATTTTTTATATTCGACAATTGAAAAAATAAAACTTTTGCAAGTTTCATAATGGCAGGTGTCCGACTTGCTGCCCCATTGAGAGAACTGCGTATTCACTTGTGCCAGAAGGGCGATTCCAGCAAAGGAATTAGGTAATAAACTTCTTGTTTGAAGGTTATATAATCTGAAGACTATTTTTTTTATCATCTAAGGGAGTTCTTGCAACAAAATTATGTGGGCATGAAGAAAACCAATCCTAAGTTTCCTATTTTAGTCCGGGAATGTTCTGGAGTTCAGCCACGATTGTGGGCCCGTTTTGGTAAGCAAAATGTTATTATTTATAAAAACCATTGATTTGATGTATAATATACCTAGAATAATCAATTTATACTAATGTTATTCTATAATTTTCAGATAAAGGTGTAGAAAAGAGTGTCTCACTGAACAATCTTAGTGCAACTGATGTTTTGGGACAAATCAAAACTATTTCTGGTGCATGTTAATTTACTATTGATCACATCCATGAAATGAAAATATAGTCAACAATTTGATTTACTTATTGCTAAATATATAATTTACTAGTTACACACAATGCCTCTATGTTCATGGTAGAAATTAAGATGAGCCTATGTTAACAAGTACATTTATTTGGAAATCCTGGTAGTCCAAATAATTCCGGCTGGAATTCCGTCATAGATTTTAGAACAATTGTAGCATCTTTGCAGAGTTTAGGGTCAGTGTGTTCATCAGGGACCATCACAACTTGCATACCAGCAGCTAAAGCCCCTGAACACCATTGGGCGCATCTTCAAAAACAAGGCACTCTTCATACTTGGGTCGCTCCACAAAGCGATCAGCCGCCAATTTGAAAATATCAGGGGCTGGTTTACCATGTTTGACCTCTGGATCAGAACCACCTGTTACAATATGTTTGAACATGCCAAAGAATTCCTGATGGCATTTGGACTTGACTGCAAAACTGGGGCCACTTGAGGATGTCGCCACCGCGCAGGGGACGTTGTTGTTATACAGATGCTTAATCAAACGCTCCACACCTAGAAAATGTTTGCATAAAATTCGTGGTACAAATTCAAATAATTCGGTACAAATTAAAATAATGCGAATTATTTGCTCAAATACGTTAACGGGATGCACGCACACCTTTTAAATATTTCATAGTAAAAGGACGAAATTTGTGGTCACCACTATGGGATATTTGCTGTACCTGGAAGCAGCGAGGTATTTGCCACGAGCGTAAAGAGCTTCGGCTGGAATTGCGCGTGCATATCCTGCCAACGGATGGGCAGATTGGTCTCACTCACGAGCGTCTTGCACGTGTCAACCGCCTGCATGCCGAGCACCTTTGAGCGCAGGTCAGGCGTGTAGACTTTGCCGTGATGCGCGAGGATAGCGGAGATGACGCGAAAATAGGCACCCTCCGTATCTGCAACATGCAAAACGTACCTGGCATTAGTGCCGCGCGTGGCATGATCACTTCGTAGAGCTTGGTCGCGCGTTCTGCATACTCCTCCCATGTGATGGGCAGGTCGTAGATTTCGACAATCCGTTTGGCGGACTCCGAACCCTGGAGACCCATTAACTGGACCTTAACATCCCATGTGAATGTCTTGCCATATTCCCCTATGATCTGTTGCGTTGCCTCCGTGTACATCGATTCCGTGTCTACAACATTGATTAAAGTTCTTTCTTTAATTTTTCCCCGGTGTATTTTTAAATGAATCAAAAACTTTACTATTTGAATTTTTTAATCAATGTTGCGGCGGTTTCCAAATGTTAATAAATACTACACATTAATCACGATCAGCTCGACTAGAAGCCAACAGTTGGCGCTGCTGTGCATATTCAAATATTTTTGACTGCAAATCGTCATCGTGCAAAACAAATTATTTTTAGAAGCATTTTCAAACGTGATTATAACAAAAAACACAAATAGAAAAACCAAACACCAAAAAAACTCTAAGAAACATCTAGTTTTTAACTTAGTAAAGTACATTCATTGCGCTCACACGCCTAACCTAGTTAAATCAGCTGGATTTCATCTACATTCGGCTGAATGTAGGCAGTACATATTCGACGTAATCGTTCCACGATCTCACAGTCAGCTGTAACTTGATGTTTTGTTGCGTTTCGCTGTTTTCAGGCGAAAAACTCACCTAAAAGTAACCCGTCCATGTCGAAGATAGCGTGCGTCACCTTCTTGAAGGTCTTGGTAACACCCACGCGATTCATCCTTGCAGTTGTCGATGCAATTCCCGTGTTGTGGTGAAGGATGGCGGTCAAACACGCGACACGCTCGCAAACGCCGAGCCGAGAACGCACGCTGAAATGTTGCGTCGAGCGCTGCTTTTGGGACCCCAAATCGACGCGTAACGTGCGTCAATTCCATCAGACTATCGCGCCGAGCTTTATTCGAGCGTGGGCGACATCTTCTTGTCTCGAGACGAAGTTGAAACATAAGTCAACCATTTAACGAATAATCTCTTCGTTATTAATTAATAAGCAGCTAATTATCACAACGAATACAAATGATATAAATTATATTTGATTCTATCTAAAGGGGAATAATGCTGACTCTAAAATTTCAACAAGTCAAGTCAACAAACTAAAATCATATGATAATGATTTCAATCGATCCTTTGTTCGCGATGCGTTGTCATGGTTTGGTCGCTGACATGTTATGATGATCGTTAGGGCTGTATTTAATTAGTCGCCTAATTAACTCGCGTAATTATGCGTAGCGTATATGTAACTCGAGCGTTTGACAACTTTAACTGGTTTTTGCTATTTGTGTTCACAGTCTTCTTGTAAAATCCAACAACCACACGACACTAGTATTATCTCACTCGCATATTTGTGGGGAATTTATTAACAGATGACTTATATTATCAGCGTGACTTGACCACAAAACCACAATCTATAAAATGTTGCAAAAAACGATCGGAAATATGTGTGGTTTATATTTACGCCAACTGGTGTAAATTATGAGTCATACTAATGCATCATTAGGCAGTTGCAAGAAAAGTGTATCAGGGACGAAAAATTTCAAGATGGTTTTCGGTATGCGTGTTTGTGCATGTTGTGGCGTGTGCTGGCCGGAGTGAGCACGATGCGTATACGGAACATGTATGAAACATGTTGGGTTGAGGGCCAGCCGCCGAAAACCGGAGGCGCAAGAAGCGACCAAAGGCGTGCGAGAAGGCGCACAGGAAACTGCGCTGGAATGCGGACCCCAGGTGCGTCAGGGGGCGAACGGGGCAGGTGGATTTATGTGTGTGGCATTTCTCCGCGATTCTCTCCGCACGAGACGCGAGATCGCCCTCCGCGATTTCCATTAAAATGGCAATCCGGCAGCCATCGGTCGGTCTGTGACCGTGTGCACAAAAGGGATACGGTCTAATCATCATAATAATGCCAATATCAGAAAAAGTAAACCAAAAATAAAACGTTACCAAGGAAAAAATAAAAAATTTAGAAAAACTTTTCATTTTGACTATAATTTTGTTTAAAAAAGTAAAAAAAATCAATTTAACATGATATTTATTATTGAAAGTGTACGAAATTTACCGGGACATCTGGTTTTCTACAATAAAAACCTCAAAAACAACGTGCAAATCGAGCTTTTGATAAAGGTGAAAATAAAATGTTAATGTGAAAAGCGTAATTCGTTTACTATTGATTTTCGCTCATAATGTGCCCGAATCAACCTGGATGTGAGTGAGGATATGATGTGGAATATGAGGATGTGGTGGAAGCTAGAGGCGGTTGTTTGCGCTCTTTATATTTAGCACGTTTCCCGAAATACATTTATCGGAAAAGTGAGCGCGCGAGGTACCGGCAACCGGCGGGACACGCGTTCCCTCCCCCGTGCCGGCAATGTGCGGCCATCAATCAACCGGCACCGCGGCATTGCATTACTCCCGAGTACGAACTTACAACTTCTGGCTCGTGCGGGAACAAACCCCCGGTCGAAACTTACTACGGCTACTTAATAACAGTAGGGGAGAGCAGGTAGGATTCGTACATTTTTACTTGACGCCATATTAAAACTAAACTATATAATATATTCGAATAAGTTTAATGTCCCTATATAGCCTATATATCTGCCTATAATTATAGTATGGTACAGCTCCGTCACAAATCACACAGACAGAATTATGATCAGTTTTCCAAAATGGAAATCGTACGAAAGTACCCCACACACGGGGTACCTTCGTGCATAGTGTGGGTACTTTCGTACATGATGGGGTACCTTCATACAGTCAAAGAAAATAAACAATTGTTGATTAAATTTAATCATTTATTGAGATCAATTTAACACAGAATCAGCATTTTTGTATTAAGAACCAAGATATATTATTTAGGTATTCATAGGTATCATATAATATGCATTTGCTTCATTATCAGTCTTTGTAGTTTTCTTTTGCTTCTTTAAATTAAATGACTCTTTCGATTGAGATTTCCTCTTTATTGAAGATGCGTTATCTGCATCTAAGACAAGATGTAGAGCTTTGATGGCCTTAGCTTTTGTTTTTCTCTTGCACTTGCTTCTTCAATAGTCTTCCTTTTCTATTTCTGCCAGTCTATCTTTTTCCGAGTATCAGTGTAAATTCTAGATTTGCCTGGTAGCTTTCCTTTCCTTGTTTTCTTTATTGAATCTCTGTCCACTCTAGGATATGGCCTGACTAACTCTGGGGTGATCAACCCCACAGCTGGTGAGCAATCTGTTACTGTTGTAGGTGATAGCAAAGATGGAGACACAGATGATGAACAACTTGGAAGGTTTTGTTGAATAAACTCTGTCTGTATGGGGTCTGCTGGTATGGTCTCTGGCACATCGTAATCTTGAACGGCTACAGAACTTGATTGCTTATCTTGCGTGGATTGTAACGCTTGTGGTTGTGAAGAAGTTGAAGCTTGTGGGTTCGTTTGAGTAACTAGTTCTCCCTCTCTGCTGACACAAGTTGGCCTATTTGTTTTTGATTCTTTTCAGCTAAAACTTTAGGTGTGCTCAGCACTGTGGAAATTCCGGACTCATCAAAATTAAAAATACGATCTGAAGTAAATTTGTACTTTGTTAGAACCTTTTCAAGGTTATTATAAAAATCAGTTACAGCAGTCTTGTTAAAAGCAAATGATCTAGCGGCGCTGGTATTTTCAGGCTTTCTAAGACTCAGGTTTCCGTTTCGCCTGCGGAAACTATCCAACCATTCTTTACCAGCCATTTTATTATGATGCCAACTCGGATGAAAATTAAGCTGATTGGCTTTTGCAAACTCATATGCCAATTTTCTGACCTGGATGATCGTCAGACCGTAGTGCATTTTGGAGCATTCAATAATGTAATTGTTTAAAAGGGCTTCCTCCTCAGTTGAAAACACCTGATTTGACGTAAACTTGGAAGTGAACGCACGGGTAGGCATATTTTCGGCAGCTTCTTGTTGATGAAACTTTTCAGACGACTTTCGAGTGTTGTTGGTTTGACGCCATATTTTTGTGCAGATTTTCTAATAGATAATGTCTTATCCAAAACTTCTTTTATCGCCGATTCTATTGCACCTTCATCTACCTCTCCCGTCCTCGTCCCCTTTTAATATATATTCGCGGCATGGTTCTGTAACAATATTAGATTTTACTGAAAAATAGATACATTTAAATGTCCAGTCAGGCACGGGGAGCATTCGTACACGTACGAATCTACCCCACCCCTACCTGTACGAAGGTTCCCCAACACCAAAAAAAACAATTAATATCGAAAATAAAAATAACCGCTGAAACTGGGCCAAAATCTATATTTACATGCTAAACTAAGTTATTCCTTCACAAACTGTGTACATTCACTTTTACAATAGGAATAAAGCGTGAATAAACAAAGATGTTTAAAAACATAACCAAAAAATACTTACTTGGCGCGAAATCACGTTACGACTCGTTGCGTCGAAGCCGGCGGCTGCACTGACGTCTCACCCCGCGAGTAACCTATGCGTGCGAGTGGGTCTAAGGGAAGGAAACGGGAAAACATCGGGGACAGACAAGGGAAGAAATCATGCAAGCAAAAAATTGCAATTGCAGTTGCTAGGAGAATTGAAGAAAAAGGGATCTTATCAAGGAAAATCAATTTAGTTTTATTATTCGTTGCAATAATACCCAAAAAATCAAAAGAAATCAAAAAGTTTAGATTAATCTTTTGTGCGCAAGTGCCATATTCAATTCTAATGAAAAATGGCACTTTATGCCATTTTATAACAGCTAGAGTGTGATTGATACGAAACAACCACAAAATGGCGGTCTATTTAGTCATACTGACTCCGCTGCGGTTTATTAAACGTTTACTAATAACTTTCATTCAGAAATGCTTGGAATGTCGAAGATATAAAAGAGACCGAACCGAAAAAGAAGACTTCGATGCTATTCATTCCTCAAAACCATACAAAAGCTCAGCTGATCCTATCAAAATGACTAAATATATCAGACTAAACTTAAACTGAATCTTAATTAACCATAATTTATAAATAATTCCTAATAAATGTATTGATTTTTGAGATAACGCCATTTTTAATACCCAACGCAGAATAGTGTGGGATGTAGACGCATAGTAACCACACCACGTGAGAAGCGTAATGCCATTGGAATGCACCCGAGCACCCGGTATGCAGCCTGGGTTCTTCTTCTTCTTGCCGAAGCTCACTGAAGTCTGCAGAAGAAAAGTAGCGTATATTCCGGCGTGGACTTGGGAGTTGGTTAGTTTTCAGAGCTGCCGCGTCGCGCTACTCGCCCGCTATCGACCCGGCGCGGTGAGTCGGCCGCTCACACTCCACACTCGCAACTTGCAAGTTTCTACTGGAGCCGGAGTGAGCCGGAGCCCCAAGAGCGTGAACTGAACACTCCGACCATACTCCAACTCCGTCAGTCGATTCTCTCGCAAGCAGTCGTGTGGGCTGTCGGCGGCAGTCTGCAGTGTGGTTTTGCGGCTCTTCGTGCGCGCACACAACGCACGCATCGGTTGGGGCATCGCACACCGGTCGTGCATTATTCATCAAACGCGTCGCGGAGCTTTCGCACAAAAAAATTATCATCATCATTCAGTGCCTTTTTATTCCCAAGAACAAGTTGAACGTTTAGAAAACTAATTAATGATGTGTATTGTTTTAACAAGAAGATTCGGCAAAGCAACGTGACAAAGAAACATTGTAAAACTGACCAATAAACAAACATTTTTTATAACTATTTGTTAACTATTAGTTTCAATGGCTGTGATCGTGATCGATAGGTGCTTGACGACGTCGGCGACGAGTGCACGAAGGGAGAGAAGACGCATGGCGACGACGCTGTTTGTCGCGCTTTATGCGGCGTGTGCGTTAAGCACCTTGGCGGCGGCGACACCCCACGCAGGTGCCGCCGGCGGCGGGTGTAACATTGCCAACGCGAACGCGATCGTTGCTCTCAGGGATTACGATTTTACTGGCGTGCAGCCCACACAAGGTGAGTTTCTTAACTTTTCTTTCGTTTTCTTTTACATTAAACTTTAAACGATTGGATCATGCAACACGATCTTTACCTTCCATCGCCGGAGATGTACAAGATGCACGATTAAATTCGTGTTTGCGGCGTTAATTCACTATAGTACGTCAAAATAAGAGCTTTATTGATAACGTGCAAGTCAAGGGTCAATGCAAAAGATCGTTTACATCGAAAGTCGACAACGACATCCACACTCTCGAAATGTGTCAGATCTATTAATAAACACTTATTTGTTTTTATCAATCATCACGTCGCGAGTCGGTTGATGTTATGACTTGATTTTTTGTTATTGCTAAATTACCAAGATTCAAATAAGAGGAGTTTGTCGACTTTGCTACGCATAATAAACTCATCTAAACGAACGAGTCAGTAATCTATATGCCATCGATACATCTTTCATCATCGAGATGTCATCCGGTTTGTGAATAGCGCAGATGTAGCAAAAAAACACGAGTTCTTCCTCGATGTCAGCAGTTCTTTGACCTGTGCCTGGCTTTAAATAAAATAAAACGTTGAATTTTGAGGTTTTGCTAAGTTTGTTTTGCGAACATTCGCGCTAATCAGTAAACATATTTATTGAGCAAGGAATAGAAGTTACTACCGAAAAGATTATGAATGCTTATATTGAAACCGAATATGTTTAAACAAGCATGGATTTTTTTGAGTAAACAATTACGAAACTGTGATTATATATTTTGTATTTCACGCGTGGATATACAGCAAAATCATTGTCAATGACTCATCGTCTGAGTTGATTCTAAGTGCTCACTCTGCTTAATCTAATTCATCACTCTTCTCTGGAGAGAATGCGTACGCAGACGGGAAACAATGAATCATCCAATGTTCAAAAATCGGGGACACATGGCACGTGCCAGTAACTTAAAGGGCTAACAAAACAAAATCTGGTAGTTTTTTGAAGGTTTTATATTGAATCTGGCGCATGAATATGTAATTTGCATTCGCACCTAATCGAATTTCCAAATATAATCGAACGGAGGCTGAGCACTCCTGCAGGGTACTCATTCACGGACGTGCGGGTACAAAGAGGGGAAATCCCTGTATGCGCACAACAAATCCCGACGCCTTTCCTTTCGTTTGCTCCCTTCATTCACGTCAAACACTTTCACCAATGTGTTTCGCAAGTATTGAAAAGTGAACATTGAACAACTTCGAACAACCCCTTGCTGAGCGTGCGGCTAACAACAGTCCAACACGCTTTTTGTTGCCCTCTCTGTGCTGCATTCGAAGTGTGGTGATAAGCGAAAGCGACGGAAACTTGAACTAGTAAACACTGAAATGCTGGAGGCGTCGCGGGGTGGATTAAAAGGACCAAAGGGGATGTGTTCGTCCCTCATTGAGGGCACAATATTGCGGCCTGTCAATTCGCGTAGCTTCGAGGCTATGGTCCCTTAATGAAACTTTCAACCCAATGCGTTCATCAGCTCATCATTTCGGTCGATGGGCATGCCACGAACCGAAAAGACTTTCGTTTATTAGGAGTATTTTCTCGAAAAAGGGTTCAATACAGAAATGTATCTTTTTATTACTTTTTGAGTTTTTACATTATCTAGGTACCTATATTCTTTTAAATCCAAATTTTATTTTTTATTTGACTTAATTCAGCTTTGTAGTTTGTTCACGTAGCTTCGCCGACAAAGGCTTGTGTGCGCGCACAAGGCGATATTTAATTAAGTACACGGTGCGAGCTCACCGGTGCTTGTTTTCATTGCACCTGCCTTTTTTCCGCCCTTTGCACACGCTCCCAGTACATTCATTCTACTACAAACTGTCGCACTTTTTACACCGTTTTTATCGCTCGCTATTCACTTTTACAAGTGAATATGCTGCACACATATTACACGCGTGTAATGTGTGTCAACAAAAGAGTTATGAAAGTGTTTCGTGCGCGGTAATTCACCATAATTACGGTTTTCTTGGTAGTTTCTTAGTTCGTACGAAACTTGTAAGCCTTTTCGTAGATTTCTTATCAGCATTGGCGGCGCAATGACGGCCCATATACGTCAGTTTTATCATCAGTAAACTCGCGGCGGTGAAAACGAAATTTTCTTTCATATTTTATGGTATATTTAGAAATATCTTAAATCTGGAGGTTACAAAATGAATTTTTGGTTTGACGTTGTAATTTTACTTTTTGTTATAAAATATAAAAGGAAAAGAAATTTGTCGATAATGTTACGCCCTTTGACATAATAAAAATTTTGTGCAACTATGCTGGAATATTAATTTTATCAAAATGACAAAATTAAATTCAATTAATTCTAGGCGTGATTTATTGATGAAGGAGTACAATGCTCACCAAGACGATTAGTATATATTTTTGTCTTTTTGTTTCTTTTTTTGTTGAATATAATGGGTAATAAGGGATAATTGGGCTTGAAAACGTGTTGGGGTGGCACAGGAAGTAGCTTAATAATTAAGACGAGAAATTCAACCCGTCAGTTCCTTTTCAATCCATCCCCGATGCATTGTGCAGACATTTCATATTTCATTCACTGCAAACTCAGGTGTGCTCGAAACCACAATAAAAAACCAATGAATTAATGTGTAAATTTAGTAAACTCAAGTTTAAATATAAACGCCTCAGATCTTTTTAACCGCGTTTTCATTTTCTTGCCTTGCTTCTCCTCGCTTGGACGGGTATTAAAAACCGTTACTTGTATAGTGCCCATGTTTTATTTTCTTTTCTATTTTCCATTTTGCTCTTTTCGGTTTTTCATCGTGCATTATTCAACGCCATTGTCGCGTCGAGGGTGGTACGCTTTATGTTCCGGTCGGTTTCTTGACAAACGTATTACCAACACTGCCAACAGTTGCAAACACGGTCGGTAAGTGTTTTTGAAAAATTGGACCGGAAACGTCCCAAAACGCGTGAGATGAATGAATGTGTGTTGTGCAACATACTATTTCATACAGTTTAGAACCAAATTGGTTCACGTCACGTTGGTACAAACAAAAATAACCGTAATTTAACAATTTACCCAAAAAATCTCAATTTTTAGCATACAATACACGAGAGAAATTAATTTTCACCATGTTTTAGTGTGAAGTAATGACATAGAAGATGAGAAAATGAAATAACTATAATTATGAATGAAAAGTTTAAGGTATCATTACCTCAGGGTGGCCTTTCCAGCATCTTCTAATTCTATCATTATCCGAACACAAATTGCACTCGAACTCACAATGTTTCATTCATATTCTTGCTTTGTATTCTTCATTAAAATTCACAAATCGATTCGATTCAATTTTATCCAGTACACTCAACCAGAGAGTTCGATTTAAAACCAAACTGTGAATAGCTCTCGAACAAAGTTGAATAAAGTACAGTTAACATGTGTTCAACATGTTTAGTGTGCAATGCACCATGCACGTGCTATTTAAGACAGTGAATCGGTCATGTTTGATGTGAATTTTTTGTGTTTTATACATTTATCACTCGGCGCACGCGAATGAAAAGAGAAAATTGCACGATTTACACGGTGTCGCCAGTGCTGGCCTACTGTCTGTCTGACTTCTTTCTTCTTTCATCTTTTTCATTGGTTGAATGGCCAACTGCGAAACGACCATAACCATACAAGTCATGATGGCGTACCAGCGTAGCGCTTGGTTAGGTTATTGAAGTCGTACCATGAGTATCATGACAGTGTAATAACTGTAAATAAGGTAAAATGGGTCAATTTTCTTCTCTACGTCCGTTGCACTAGTGGCTTCATCTCCGACAATACGATTGCTTCTGTTTACAGTCGTGGTTTATTTCGAGTTCATACATCGAATGCGTGCGCATGAAAGTACTACTCAGTTAGCAAACAAGTAAATAGTGCATTTATTTGTCTTTTTCACTTCGTGCTAACGTTTACTTAACGTTAGACTGTTTGTAACGTATAACTTGTCAGTCAATTGATCTTAAATTCACAGCATCTTAAACTTATTGCTCAAGTACGCGTTACAACATGTTTAAGTAGAAAATGTAAAGCTGTCGAGCGTAGATAAGTCGACTTATGGGCATTAAAACATATAGATAAGTCTATTTTCTTCCCATCACAACCGTTAGTATTGTAGAGGATGTTTTGCATTTTATTCTATTCATTGTTCAAAACTTGTTTTAATATGCGTCAGACACGTCGCGACAAGATGTCGCCACTTCAGTCTGCTCACCTGCGAATAGTCGAGATATTTCGGTAGCGCGCACAATAGAGGCTTGCATTTTCGGGTGGCAAAGCATGAGCTTTTATTGCCCCCACGCTTAGGGCATATTATCTCTCACTTATTCAACTTATTCACGCTGCGTGTGCGGCGGACGGACGTCTTTTGAATAGAATTAGCCGCATGACGGCCGCACGACCTGTTTGCCGAACAACCTGAGAGGTAATAAACGCGAGTTTAGAGAGATTTTAAAAGAATTGCAGACCATTGTAAACCTGCACAAAATAATCAAGGAAAGAAGGTGACGCACGATGCACCTAGGTAGGTAGAGAGAAACTATGTCTTAGGCTAGATTAAGACATGACAATGATGACCGTAAATATTTGGATTATTGGAATATTTTGTAGGCAATTGAACAAATCCAGGTATTAAAGCTTCTTAAATTTAAAAATTGGAAATTCCACAATAGGTTAAACTGGTTGTCATGATGGACTGTGTACCGGTAACCTAATAAATATTGTCTTAAATTAATTGTTCAGTAAAAGTACTGACATAACTTAAATTTCACTTTTAATTTGATGAAATGAGAAATGCTAAAATGCACTTTAGCGCCATCTCCAATCGAAATATATAATCATAACTATGATTATCAAAAACATCAACTTTTAACGCTAAATTTTAACTTAAATTTGAACCTGCGCATTTCAGAAAAAATATTCAAAGCTTTTACTTCCGACACAGTTCAACTCAACAAGTTGCCGTGATGTATAACTTGATTAATTTTTATTGTCGTAAAC